GTCATTTGTAAGACAGTTACCAACCGAAGAAAATGATAGTTGCTCATTCTCGTGTATTGATCGAAGTTAGACATTAACACAGTGGAATGCTGACTCTATGGTCTAGTGATTAAGCGCTTACGTTCAAAACAGGTCAGGGGTTCGATTCGCGCTTATGGAATCATGGACACGAACTTTTTAGGAGTCATATACTTGGACGACACGGCTGTTCAGTACATCCAGACTTCCAATGGTAGTTTAACATTGATTGGTTCATGATGCCAATGAAATTAGATAATCTTTTGTAAATTTAAGCTGCCTTGACCCTTGATAAGAAACTATGGTATACAATCGATTCATCATATTGCATAAATCTTGTTATTCTTGTTCAGTCTAAAATTATTACTATCAAATATTAAGAAATGACCTAATATATATAACTCTTGAATGCATTTCAAAAAATTAACTTTAATTGTCTCTCTTGTCTGAATCTATTTACGAACGAGATGTATGAACAAAATATGCTGAGTTTAATTCGGTTTAGCTTAAGATCCTTAAAGTAAAATTCATGAGGTTATTTTTATTCAGTGGAGATTAATTTAAGTTCTGTTTACAACTCCAGATTTTTCATGCATATATTTCCTTTTATTATCAAGAACAAACATTCTAACAGAATAGAATGAATTCATTTCGCGAGCAGGACTGTGGATGCGCACTGCTGAGGAGTCCCATGATAAGACGAGACGGCTGTCCAGTGCTTCTAAGTTTCCAATGACGGTCTAACATCAACCGATTCATGATCTTAATCATTTTATTTCATTTGGTTCTCGTCAGCCGCTTACAACCTGTGATATTTAAAAACATAATCACAAAATGGGTTTAAGTCAGTTACGTGAAAGAGTTTAGTCGGATATTATTTTAAATAAATCATTATACTATGGCAAAAGTGTAGACACATCTAATAAATTGAATATAGTAAGCACATACCTTAGACAAAAGAACATTCTACAACACTGATTGTAACAAGAGTTCAAAAAGCCAGAAACAAATGGTTACGTAATGAGTAAACTCTGATAAAGATAGAATGAGTAAAGCTCAGTTAATAAAATCAGATTACTAATCTAGAAGACAGTTGAAATAAAAAGACGTTATGATGTAATTAAATAAAAGGAAGAGTTGAAAATTTTTTCGAAGATGCGACGAAGGCATATTTGTCATCAAGGCAAGGAGAGATCAGTAACAACCTCCTTTAGAACACACAAATCAAGTTTTTGATACCTGATAGGAACAACTTCAGAAGACTAAAGCTTGGCTCTTTATTAATCACCTTGAAATATTGAAAGATATAGGCCTGATGTCCTGTCTCTTAGGCATTTCTCGACGTTCATCAATCCTTCTCTCAGTTTGTCAGTGATATATATCCGTTTTACACCATAAAACAGTGTTTTGACCAATGCTTTCTTGTAAATGAGTGAACAAAAACTACTGAAATTCAGGTAAAGACCATTCCAAGTACTTTTACGATAAATCGAACGTTGAACTGTCCCGTCTTCTCTACGTTGTACGGCAATATCAAGGTGTAACACGATATTCTTTTCGTGTTTCATTGTAAATTGTATGTTGGAATAAACATTACTGAAGAGTTCTAATAGGCTGATTGTATGTTGTTTAATATTGGAGACAATAAATTTGCCATCAATATATATGGAGTATTCCATTGTTTCGTTGATCGCTTGTTTCAGTACCGTAGTTTCAAGATATCCCATAAAAACATCTACCACAATTGGGCCTGATGGACGTCCCATAGGTAAATCATCAATTTGACGGTTTAGTGTTATTGAACTCAAATTGAACGTCTTTTGTGCATAGATAAAATAAACACTTTAAAGGCAAAATCTTGCTTTTCATAATTCACGGTAGTTTGGTATGGGAGATAGTTAAACGTGTAATCACTCTATACATTTCCAAAGGGTCTCGTCGTATAGACACAGGAACACATCATAGTCTGATTTATCTACCCAACTAATTTATATAAATTTAAATTAATCATAAGATTAAAAGAAAACAATTTTGTGGATTGGTTGAAGTTAGACATAAACGCTGTTGAATGCCAACTTAGTGGTCTAGTGATTAAGCGTTCGCACAAGACAGACAGATCCTGGGTTCGAATCCCACGGGGTGGGATCGTGGATGTGCACTCCCGAGGATTCCCACGACAGGACGAAACGGCCGTCCGATGCTTCCAGGTTATCTATGATTGTCTATTAAATTATTTTAGATTGTTAGAAAATTTAAATTTGTTGGAGAGATAGGGATTTTTGAAGGATCCAATAGATTATTTAACCTTAATATATTATGATTAGCTGTAGTAAAGTGAATTGAACACAGTATGTTTTAGTTCTAGTCATTTGTGTTCAATACAATTTTTTTTATTTCAAGGCTATTGACATGATTTATAATTGTATAAGGGTTTCATTCATTTGTACAAGTAATTATCATAAAATAAATATAACAGCATGGAAAAATATTGTACATTATATAAACACATTATTATCTAGACTTTCTGTTCTAGAGGCTAAAAGTTCGCGCGCCAGATCGCAAGATCTGGGTTCGAGTCTCGCGTGTGAGATCGTGAATGGGCATTGTTTAAAAGTCCCATACTGAGACGGAACAATCATTCAATGCTTACAGGTTTTCAATGAAGGTCTAGCTTACATTGACTCATGAATTCAACTATTAAAATTACTACGATCTCCACAAATCCCCATTCTAACATAATTGTTACAATTTTCTGGTAAGGTTGAATAGTGTCTAACTATGGAATTCAAAAAGTAGTTTTCTTTTTATTCTGGACTCATTAATTAGGTACACCAGCATCGCAGTGTTAATGTTCAGAATACAAGTTCTAGATTATACAGCTAGTCATTATTAAATTTTGCCAAAAAAAAAGAAAACAACGACAACAACAACTTGTGGTTCAACAGTTATATCATAGTAGTGCATTCAAGATGTAAATAGATCAAAAGAGGCTAAACAATTTCAATCTTTAATATCAATAACTTGAAGATAAGAGCATTAACAAATGATTGTTACAGTTTACTGTCTATACAAATCAAAATCTAATGATTTCTTTTACATATTCATCTATGTAATTTATAACGGTTTATTTAATATGCTAAAAATTTATTCCTGAACTGCTAACTTCTAACTGACAACCATTCAATATCTTCAGGATAGACTATGTAATAAGAAACGCAAACTTGTTGAAATACTTTATGCTGTTTATTATATATTATACCAAGACTACAATATTGAATACTGAGAATAATAATAATAAAATAGGCAGTTGTCAAATTATAAATAAATAATACATTTGTGATATTCCAGTGAGTGGAGAAATTAGATTTTCTGACGTTTCGTGACTTAGTGTAAGCTACTTCTTCAGAGAATAAATGACCGGATCAAAATTAATCCAAGTTTAAATAGTACAACGAAACAACAAGTTGTCCATGAACATGGTTATTATTTAGTTTACTACTTATTAATGAATATCATGTCGTAATAATCAGTAGTAGAAGAGAAAAATATGATGTCAACTTGAATAAAGTTAATTGAAACATATGACTAGTTCTTTAAAAACAAAACAATATGTTACATTGAACCAAGTGGGAATTTTCAAATAAATCAAAATGCTCATTTAAGTTTATATTACAATATACAAGAATTATAAATTTACGGTACAATCGTATAGTATGACTATCAAATTATTTATAAATATCAGTATAGGGGTTGTGGAGCTTATTAAGTTTTTGATTGAGATCATGAACCGATTGAAGTTAGACCATCGTTAAAAACCTGGAAGCACTGGACGGCCGTTTCGTCCTGTTATAAGACCCCTCAGCAGGGGGTATCCACGACCCCGCTCGCAGGATTCGAAATCAGAGCCCTCAGCCTCACGCGCGAACGCTTAACCTACTAGACCACTGACACAGCATCCCATTTTGTTAGAGTCTAACATCACTCGCGAGACTGAAGGCCTTGTGTTCGAATCTCGTGAGCGGGATCGTGAGTGCGCACTGCTGAAGAGTCCCACAGTAGGACGAAACGGCCGTTCAGTGCTTCTAGATTGTCAATGGTAGTCTAACATCACTCGGTTCATGATCTCAACCAAAATATTTATCATGAATTTAATAGTTTTTTTTTAATTGAGAGAAAATAAACAAAATTGTAGATAATACTAATATTAATTTATGTAATCTATTTTAATATAATGATATGTTTAAAAATGAATAAAGGAGATCATAAACACCAATATAATGTGTAACAGCATAGTTCATTTTAAACAGATTCTACCATACTCAAACACGACCACATCAATAACTAGCTGACATATTTGAAGTGTGCTTCATGGCCAAATACACAAATCTGTAAATCATTAATTTTGACAAAGAACTTGGATGATAATAATAAAACATTTAAGTAGTCATTGTGATAGTTCCTTAAATAGGACTTACAAGTGATTGTTCCTATTTTGCTTCAGCCAATCAATTACATTGAGATCATGAACCGATTGATGTTAGACCACCATTGTAAACCTCGAAGCACTGGACGGTCATTTCACATCATTGTGGGACTCCCGAACAGTGCGCATCCACGATCTCGCCCACGAGATTCGAACCTAGGGCCTTCATCCCCGCGCCTCGAACGCTTAACCTACTGGACCACTGAGCTCTGGAAGTGGATAAGACACACATTGAGGAAAGCACCCAACTACGTCACAAGATAAGCCCTCACATGGAATCCTCAAGGTCAAAGGTGGAGAGGAAGACCAAAGAAAACATTACGCCGGGAAATGGAGATAGACATGAGAAAAATGAACAAGAATTTGATAGAATTAAAAAAGAAGGCACAGGATAGAGTGAGTTGGAGAATGCTGGTCAGTGGCCTATGCTCCATTAGGAGTAACAGGCGTAAGTAAGTAAATAACTAAATAATCAATTACATAACAATTTCACACTTACATTGTTTTAATAAAATCAATGTTTCTTTTTCTTCATCTTGTCTAATTGGTTTATCAATCAATTGATTATTTATATCAATTTCAGTTTTTAAACGATTACGTAATATTATTGGTAATGAATTCCATTCAGATTCATTATTCACATTAATTTTTGGTATTGTTTTCATATTTAATTGTTGTAAAATTTTATTTTTAAATTTTTCAATTATCAATTGTATTTTTTCATTATTATATTGTGAATTTTTATTATTTTCATTATTATTATTATTATTATTATTATTATTATTATAAAAATTAACATTTGGATCATTTGTAATAAAATTTGATAAAAATGGATTATTTATTTGTTTTGTTAACCAATAATTTGAATGATATAAATATGATTTAAGTGATTGTTTATGTTCATTAGATAATTGTAAATAATATCTTAATGGTTTATGATAATATTGTTTAAATGTATTAATTGTTGTTGGTGCTGTTGGTGTTGTTGCCGTTGGTGATGGTGTTGCTGTTGCTGTTGCTGTTGGTGTTAAGAGAGATGCATCAACTATTAAATTCATTGAATGAAATAAATCATATTTTAATTGATTTTTAATTATAATCATTAATAAAATAATTAAAAATTTTATATTTAAATGATTATAGAATTTTTTTAAGAATAATTCAATGTGTAAATGAATATAACATTGAAACTGTTGAATTAATAAGATGGCGGAATTTTCAAATCTCATAGATAATGATGATGATGATAATAATAATATATAATGTCCTAATATTATCATTCGTTTATAAACAATATTATATAAGAGATTATTGTACATATTAATTATATATTAAAGAATTGGAAAACGTTTCTTTTTGATGTTCAATGTTCTATAGTGAAACACTCTGTTGTTATATACATATATATATATATGTATATATAGAAATATATATGTAAATCTAATTGGACAATATCTATGTGATCTTATCCGGTATATAACTCAAAGGTATTATAATAGGAAAGTGCTCATTTTACCGAATATTATATGAGATGAATTTGATTATAGACACTCAACATAATATTTATTGTTATACATAGGGTGTGTATGTGTGTAGATATATATATACATATATGTATATTTATATAGATATATGGGAAATTGGAATGAATCTACCCTAAAGATAGATAGATAGATAGATATATGTCTATATATGAACACAAATACTTATTATTGTCTATTAAATTATATGAATTTTTAACTAATTTCACTGTTACTTTTTCATTGTTTAAAATTTTCTCTTCCTTTACAATCTCCCTTTATTATATTTTTTAAAAAAAGAAAACTATGTATATATATACATATTGTCTATGAACATGTTTTCAAAGAATACAAATTTTCCTCCCTTTCTTACAATTGTTGACATGGTAAAGAAGTAGTAATTTTGTTTCTAGGTATATAAATGTATGGTTGTTAAGTTTTGAAAACGAACAATTTTCGTCTGTTTATTTTTTTAAACAATAGAAAGTAATAATAATAATGAAATAGGTTTATTCATAATCATGGTTGGTCAGTGATAATCATTTCTAAAATAGAAACTATAGATAGATAGATAGATAGACATGAAAATTATTCCCACCCACCTGTCAATTATAAGGCATAAACCAATAGGATACTTTTATTTATTTACTTTTTTTTGGGGGATCAAATATATACACTGATCACATTTGAACTATAGAAATGTAGACTAATTATTTGTTTAATATAAACAAATTAATTACTAGATGAGATTTATGTAGATTATTCAAGGTTCTTTAATTTATATTTAAAATTGGAAAATACTAGTGAGTTGTTTTATCCGAGGGAAAAGACTCTTCAATGATTCAGATGGATGATTAAATAATAGATCTAATTGAAGATTTTTAGATCTTGTAACATGGGATTAACTTTAGATGAATCATCCTTTGAGGAGATTAATATTGGATGTAAGTATGTCTAGGTACCATGTTTCAAGATGATGTGAAAGGCTATTTTAATATCATAGTTAGAAAAAACTGATATGATGGAAAGAAAAGTCACTTTTCGATTGATTTACTCATTATGAGTTTTGTTCAAGATTACTTCCTTTTCGATTCAATGTAATGATTACTCAATGTAGTATTTGTTTTCCTTCCTCGTATGATATTTTGTTCTGTAAAATATGCGATATCCTTGTATTCCATTGACATGAACTATTCTTAGTATATGGTTTGTTATAACTCTAAATATTTTTTCATATATGTGATTTCATCCCAATTATGAATCAAAATGGGTGTCCAATCAATATATAAATGACTGTATTTTCTATTAGAGTTGACGTCGTCATCGTCGTGTTTTGAGGTTAATAAATCTCCACTTATACCAGTCTTTGTGTTCTTACTTTTGCATCGTACGAATTGCAGAGGTCCCTCGTTCCGCGTATAAGTGATAAACGTTTCCGATATAACAATCAGCGACGACCAGATACAAAAAGTAGCATTAAAACAGCCAAAACAATAAGCATTCAAACGACAAGTTATAACAAAAACACAAAGTTTTTTTGAAAAATTCTTAATCATTTTGTGTATAGAGAAGTGTTTATAGTGCATAATTCAGTAATATGAATAATATTTCACAGATTAGTGCTGATCACAGATATTTTTACTAAAAAAAACTACAATCCAAAAATACCGAATTCATTATTGCTAAACTTATCTGGTCTGACAATATCATTGAAGAAGGATGTTAATAACAACAATACTGAATAGATTATTCATGAAATTAAAAATCATAGAAATTTAAGTTAAAATGGAAAGTTTAGTAACAATCTAATCACAATAATGAAAACAGAGTATGTACAGAATTCATAAAGCAAATGTTAAATCAACTATAATTATTAGCATTTTTCTTTGATCGTTTAAATAAGTTAGGCATTAATATCGTTCGATGCTGACTCATTTATCTAAAGGTTAAGCGTAAGACTGAAGGTCTTAGGTCGAGTCCCGTGTGCGGGATCGTGGTTACTTACTGTTTAGAAGTCTCATACTAGGATGAGATGGCTATCCAGTTCTTCCAGATTTTTAATGGTGATCTAGCCTATATTGATTCATGAATTCAACTGTTGAAATACTACAATCTTCACAAATTCCCATACTGAGGATAAGTATAAGTCAAGAAAACTATTGTACTTCATAATAATTCATTCGTAATACTTGTATAAGTAATAAACAATTTGGATTACATGCTTGTCACAACTTTGTTTAAGTTGCTTCATCAACACATTTGGATTTAGTAACTTACACATTGTTTCAACCACTTACCTTACTCTTCAATTGAAAAATGTATTTTGATTCATTTTTTAGGAAATTTTTAAAATTAATTTAATGGCTGTTGAATATATGATACATTACTATGATCGATTTCATTTGAACATTTCCAAGATTTACAAAATAATGACGAAGTCTTTTAAGATACTTTAAATGATAAGACTTGTAGTGTCGGTTACTATGTTAAGCCCATATAACTTATTCTAGCTTCGAGACAGGCCAATTTCTTCATTTTTCTTGTGTCATATTTTAACCTTGTTAATTATTCACTTTTGAACCTTGAGTGCTTTTATATGAGCTTGTGTGTGTACACTTCTTATCCTTTTCATCACATGTCTGTAACTTATTTTTGTGTGATCATAAACTTTCGGTTAAATGAAGGTGGCTTACATGCCTTCTTCACTGCGCGTCGTTTCGCTTCGTCCCTCTGATTGTCTGTCCAGATGAATGTGTACAAAATATACGTATTCAAAACTTCATTCCCGTATTTGACTTATTTAATTCCATTATTCAGCAACGTGAGTTAAGTCGATAATAATATACGAGAGTAGCCAGGATAAATATTTCGACAACAATCATTCAATAGCGATCAATATATGATCTAGTCGGAGTCAGATCTTAGGCTACTAAAGTGGTGAGCCTATCGACAGCATCGTCCAATCTAATTGACGACAAAATAAAGGCCTCCACTAAAGACTCTTCAATATGAAATGTTTCATCATGACGACCTAAATTTGTGGTTTAGTATTACCATGAATGAGATTTATCTTTTAGTTTAGGTATAAAATTTTGAACATTAAATCAATTTTTCCTGTGTATTTAGTTTTCTTTTTCCTCAATATTTAATGATTTTCGGTAAACGATTTTGTGAGGATTGTATAATTTTTGTGGCTTAAATCACAAACTGATTTTAGATAGACTACCATTGAAAACCAAGTAGTACTAAATAGTTGCTTTGTCCTAGCATGGAACTCCTCAGTAGTACTCATCCACGAACTTGGCACGAAGAAATAAACCCAGGATCTGTGGTCTCGGGTGTGCATGCCGAACTTCTAAACCACGAAGCAGGCACCTAGTAGTATACATATCTAACTTCAATGAATTTGCGATATTTTAGGAGTTCTAGTGACCAATCGAGTTCAACAATTTTGGTTGTGAAACTACATTACACTTTATGATAGACGGTCATGTATTAACGTGAATTGATTGGAGTTAGACATCTATACCACTGGACGTCGGTTTACTGATCTGGAGGTTAAGATTTTATCAGAATTTCTAATTTGTGATTTATCACTGAAAATATCTCATTTCCAATCAACAGTTAATTTGACGTGATATAAATTTCATCTGACAACAGTCAATGTACATACTGTGGTAATCTTCACAAACCGTACTTCATAATTATTGAGACTTAACGTATTCTTTTAAAGTTACTTTGATTCTACCGGGCATCATTTTTAAAATTAATGGAGCATATATGACAGCTTGACTATCTTCTCTGATGCGCCATACTAGCTAGTATGAGTGTAAGTCAAAAACAGACTATCATTAGTCAAAACAATACATAATAGGTATTATTGAAGTGGTAAGCTATTGGATAGAATAGAATTAAATGAAGCAGACATTTCCTTGTATACAAGTGAAATACTCTGAATCCGTAGTAAATCATCTTAAGTTGGACGTTATGAAATCAGTCGGAAGCATACTGTTACTCTACGTTTGTAGACTCCTTAATTTCACCCTTTTTTCGGATTACATATCATCTTTTCAATAAATACTCAAAGTTAGGTTAATATTAATTTTCATTACATAAACAAGAGTACGTTTATTTGACCTCTACGAAGTGCTCTCCATTTAGGATAATATACTTTTTCGATCTCCTCTTCATAAGTCAGAAACAATGATCTCAACGTTCAAAGTTTATCTGGAAACATATTTACTTACATTTCTTCTAAGCTCAATTCTTCAGAAAACAATACTTAAGTAATCAGTAGTCAAAAGCTACAAGAGATGGCTCATATTTAATTTTCTTTTACTCAAGACACAAGATAGACAATCACCCTACCTTTTCATCATTCTTCCAACCTTCAAACTTGATTCACTTGAAAATAACTCGTTTTCACTGTTTGATCTCTCTCTCTTTCTCTCTCATAGACATTCTTCAACATTTTATAAATATTCTGATAAATTTTCAAAATTTTGATTTACTTAGTTTAGTAAACAGTAGCAATTATGTTATGACTGATATATTAACTTGATCAGGTCATAATTACTAGAATGTATTCTGCCGTAAATCTGGCCAATTCTATGGATTACTAAGTTGGATTTATAATTGTAGAACCTAATGAGAAATTATTGAAAAGTAGATTCTTCGTTCACACAATTGTGATACAATATTTAATGTTGAAAATAAATCATGTAGATAATATCTAATGTTTAAGCAAATTCTAATACTTACTTAATTACTTACTTATTTACGCGTGTTACCCCTTATGA